TCTCTGTGTCTTGGAATCTCACGACAAAGTAGTTGTTGGGGAGGTCGATGAGTTCGAACGATGAGAATCCCCACATCCTTTCTAAGGCTTCTTTCAGGGTGTAGGGGCTAAATTTCCGCCCCAAGACTGCTATAATTAATGCATAATTCCATGGTTCACACCATTCATTAAACTCTTCTTGCGTTATGGGTACCACTGGATAGATTTCCATGAGCTTTTTGACCTCCTCCGACTCCTCTGGCATTTTCCAGTAAATTTCTTTATCCATGTTGAATAAGTCATCCTCTTCCATCGGGCTGCTGCCATGGGCGATTCCATTGAAACCCATCAGAGACACTCGATAGGAAGGGAACTTAAGGCCTGGCATTTCTGAGCATTGCTCTGTTTCTTTTCCATTATGGTTTCCCGCTGACACTCCAGGTTGATCTTCACCTGTTTTTTCTTCCATTTGGTCATCCATGATGGCATACAGGATCTCGTCCATCTTCGTTTTCTTTTTCCGATCGTCATTTTCCTCTGCTTTGGGACGGTCCGGCGGGACCTTCCAGTGTCCAGAGTTCGTCATAGGCTGGTGCGCACGATTACCAAGAGAGAGAAAACAAAAGCACTCTAGAGCTTTTTGTTCGTAAAGTTAGGCTTTTAACCTCTATAAATCATTAAATCGCTCTTTCGCTGTCTTTCACATCACCATATTATTTAATACTCCTCTGATCTTAAATATAAAACTTTTATACACGCTAATATAAGGGTTTTATATTTAGAACCGCAAGAGTAAAAAATATTTTTGCTGCTTGATCGATAGTCCATTATTTAAGTTTGATGGCCTCTTGCAGATTTGGATTCTAAGTTAGTAGCATTGAAATAAAATTACAATATCAGACTTTTCAAATAAAGAAAAATATGACATCAATTTATAATTGAAACAATGAAGCCAGTGGGCAAAATAAAATTATAGGTAAAATATAAATAACTAAATTAAAATTAAACAAAAATAAGGAACAAAAGTATAACGCAACGTAAGAATGAGTGTACTTTAATCAGTTTATATAACTAAGATTTTGATCTTAAAATTTTCAATTGAAATTTCCTCCCTCTATTTTTTAGTATGAATCAAACTAAACCATAGGACAATTCTTACGAAGAAAAATTATGTACCCTTTTTTTTCCGCTAATTTTTCTAAACTTGATGTAATTCTAACAAAAACTAAAATATTATATCCCATAATAAATTTAAAATAAAAGCTGATAAGGCAAAACGGGATTACCCATGAATCCAAAAGCTGCTGAATCATATTCATGGAACTGAGACGATCACGATAATGACATTGCTCCAACCAGGCATCCACGAGAGGATAATCGAGTTCTGTACCATTAAAATTGTAATTTAACATAACTCGAAACATTTGTTTATATTATCAAAGTCGTTTAATTAATTGCTTCAATTGAATATTGATTGACGGCTGCTTTTAAGTAGTTTAGAAGCGACAAGGTTAATTGCTTTATTTATTTTTTAAATATGTTTTGCTAAGCAAGTCTTTCAACTTAATTTATTCCCACGAAATCATATTTAACAAATAAAAAAACACACCACAAACCGCCATTAATTATAAATATGATGTTTCATATTAAAGTTTTAATAACTTTTGTATTTTTAAAATAAAAATGAGAAGGGACTGCGAAGAATCAGAGGAAAAAGGGCCCCAGAGGGAATATAAAAAGGTATTAGGTTTGTTATCTACCATGAGTTATAAAAATAATTATTATTAAATATCATGTCATGGTCGCATATTAATTTGTGCATGTAATGTATATTTCAATACCATTTAATTTCACTTGTATTTGAATTAAGATAATGATGTCATGGGTAGGGGAAAATTTTATTACTGCCAGGTAGTTATATTTTAATGTTTCACTTTTAGCTGATAATAGCATTTGAAGTAGAAGTTAATCAATTTTAAATTAAAAGAATTCTCTTTTGGTAACACTCCATTTGCCCTTAATATAATTGTTGAGTCGAGTTTGGTCTTAAATATAAAACATATTTATTATATTTATTAATTTCTTTCAAATTATCTATATTTATACCCTTTCAACCATAATCAAATAAGAAAGAAAAGAAAATATTAAGAAAGATGATCATGGTATTTTAAGAAAAACATATTATATTTCTTAAAATAAACTAACATTCTTAATTTTCTTAATTTAATCAAATTAATTAAATAAATTTTATAGTAAGAATAAGAGAAGTACTGTGTTACCATTACTAACTTTTACAACTATTGCCAATATGTAAGCAACGTAACTTTAAAATAATAATAGTTTCAGAATAGAAGCAAAAAGTCAAAAAACCCAAAATACTCTATGGATATAAGATCCATTTTGTGAGTCACCACATGACGTAGATTAAATTGTTGAGTTGATTTTGATCTTAGATATAAGATCTATTTTCTTATATTTATCAATTTTCTCTAAATTACCCTATGGATACTCCCTCAACCATAATCAAGTGAAAGAGAAAAACGGGGTATTAAGAAAGATGATTATAATATTTTAAAAAAAATATGTCATATTTGTTATATGTTAGTTAATAGTTTTACGAAATTCCCCAAACTATAGACAAGTTGGCTAGTTGCATATCGGCATTCTAAAATATAAATTTAATCTACGTCATGTGGTCACTCACAAAAAGTATAAGAAATGTTATATATTAACAATAAATATTTTTTTTTGGGTTACAACAATAAATAATTTTTTAAAAAAACAATAATAATCTTCCCTTTGGAATTTTTGGTGCGGGGCCAAATCCAGCACGAGCGGCTTGGTCCCAAACCGGACTCTAGATTGGACCCCCCACGGGCCTACACACACCAATCAGTCAAAGTGGTGAGTGGTGAGTATTGAGTCCGACGGAAAAAACGAGTGGTGACTATTGAGGCTGGCAGGTCACAATAAATAATTAATTTATAACTTTTTTTTTACCAGAGAATCAATTTATAACTTATAAGATTATAAATTAGGATCCTATTATTAATTTAAAAATTTTGTTAATAGATAATTTGTAAATACCTCTACAAATTTTTTTTTTTTGAACTCAGAAGTATGCATGACTTCAATATACTTCTGAATTCAATTCACCACCAATTAAAAAAGTCGGTGATTGATGATCGGGATGTAATTGCATTTATGGTTCAATTAAACACACACGTGGTTTTCGGACCTTTGCCATCTACAACCATTTTGTCCTACTCTGGTACTACTCCTTTTAATTCCATAATTATTACCACTACCTCTCAGCATCAAACGGCAAACATTTTAGTTAGTTTGGATCTTGTTTGATAAGAACAGAAATTGGGGCGGTGCTTCATAAATGCATGTGAACAGAGACGAGGGCCCTGGGTGGGATTCACATTTTGGAAAAGAAGTGGGGTCTTTTGCAGATAAGATATTTGAATTGAGTGTTATAGACACCACACGCCCATACACATACTTGGTAACTTGGGACACCATCATGTAAATACGCACGCCACAGCACTACGCGTCTCCCCTCCACTATTTGAAAAGAAGATAAAAATGTCAAGTGCCCGATTCAAAATAAAATTATCAGAACATACCAAAAAATTAATGCCTAGGGACGCGTACCAACCCTTTCTTCTGTTCTGGACCACTTTTCATGTTCCCCTCCACGCTTGGGTGACCAATGACTCTTTTATGTCACACAAGTGTTTGACATAAAAAATAAAAAAAAATACACGCCCTTCGTCACTAAAACTCATCTCAATTTTGTACTGTTTCATTATTATGATTTTCATATGAGCTTATGTGCATGGGTTATTGTACTATTTTATGTTCCGTGTGGGGGTAAGACTTATCTTCAGAAGCGTACCACGTTTACTTTTTACGTTATCTCCGTAGTTGCTTGTGGGGAACTGGACACCGTAGGTCACGTCACTTGGTTTTAAAGGTTGACAGCAAAAAAAAAATCATAGCACTCTAATCACATTAAATACGTAATTCGGTACGACTTTGAGTCTACTTATTTATATTATTCATAATTAATTATCTAATTAAATCTTGGTTGTAAATTGTAATAAGATGAGGAAGTTATTTTCAATAATAAAGTGGGCCCTAACTGGGCCGAGTCCTCTAGTCATTTAGGATGTGTTTGGATGAAATCAAATCATGGTTTGAAGAATAGCTTCTGGAGAATAGATTCTGAAAAAAATAGATTTTGGAAAGAATAGATTTTGTAAAAAAGTGATTTTGAAAAGTGTGAGTGTTTGGATAGTCATTATTAGAAGTACTTTTTATATATACAAATTGGTATAAATTAATATAATAATTATAGAAAAAATATATTTTATGATATATTTTAATTTGAAGGAATAAAATTGTTAATAATATATTTTTATTAACATATATTAATAATATATAAGATAATATAATTAATAAATAATTAATATGTATATATATTATAAGATATAAGATTAAATATGTTTATAAAAAATATGTTTATAAAAAAAAACAAGATACATATCATATAGGCTCTCACACTCTCACTTTTTTCTCCAATAGTAAAAAATTTCTGCTTTTTCCAAAACCATGGTTTTGAACCCAAACCATGGTTTTGATTTTTTTAAGGGTGTTTGGCTAACATTTTTCTCAAACCATGGTTTGGGATGCTTGCCAAACACACCCTTCTTCTTTTGTCAGGCTCCGGCGATCATTTCCCGACGGGTTAAAATCCGAAACGACGTAACCCGGGTGTTGGGGGGGGTGAAAGACCCGAAATAGCCTCCTTCCTTGACACGTGTACTACTCCTTTTGGAACCACTTGTCAAATCATGTCATCCTCAAGAATCTGAATGATCACGTGGTGAGCCGGGCCGCTGTGCTGATTTTTACAGGGATCCCTCTTGAAAAGGGGGATTGGGAATTAGGCATTTTGAAATTAGAAGACTTGGAATTGGAACATTTTTTGCAACAGAGCCTTACAGTTTTTCCGGCTTCATAAACCATCATCATCGATCATCAATTAATACTGATCTCCGGAATAAGGAAATTTCAATTTGTCCGTGTATGGTTAAAATCTAACCATAGTTTCTTTTTGAGGACTCATCTTCGTCACCTGTCAATTTCTCCCTCTGCGGGAGGGGACTCTTTCTCTTTCTCCTTTCCTCGCAATTGGGGATTCTTTCGTGTTTATCTATGTCATTTTTGCATTCTGTAGTACTTGGCTTGCATGCTGATTGTTGCTGCTCCGATTCGTTATCGTTACCCAAACTGGACCTTTCTGTTCTTGTTCTTGGCTACAGAACTGAGCGATGGCGGCTAAGAAGGCCTGCCAATCCTTTTCCAAGGGATTGATCGAGGACGTTCACAGATGGAGTTGTTTGAAGCAGACGGGGGTGAGCTTGAGGTATATGATGGAATTTGGGTCCAAACCCACTGATAGGAATTTGCTGATTTCCGCTCAGTTCCTTCACAAGGAGCTTCCCATTAGGATTGCTAGAAGAGCTATTGAGCTCGAGAGGCTTCCATATGGATTATCTGAAAAACCTGCTGTCCTGAAGGTTACTGCTTGTTCTGTCTCTTTATTTCTTCTCTCTTCCTACATTGAATGTTCCGTTTTCTTGTGAATTTCATTAATCAGAACCCCTTCCCCTTGCTTACGAGGTAATTCTGTTTGTGTAGTTCATTTTACTAATTTATTGGTCTTATTTTTCTTTACTGACTGAGTCGTGAGAATTGAGAGATTAACTATCTGCGAATTTGCGGAAGTGATATTTTCAATAAAAAAATTAATTCGTATTTTAGTTAATAATGTAATATAGTTTCCTGGTCTTTGCAATTGACATGTGAATAATTGAGTATGTGAAGTTCAACTTGGTTTCAAGGAACTCGAGTGCCTTTAACATGGGCTAGATGGGAAACTTTGCTGAACCTTATTATTATTATTTTGCTGATTACGGTTTTTGACTTGGATGGAACTTTATGAGTTGCAGATCTTAAATGTCCATTTAAAATTTGAAATCAAAGGTTTTATATCCTCGAGATAAGCTGGGCAAGCTGCATAATACTCTTTGCTTAGAACAGTATAAATTATTATTCTATATGAATTCACGTTTGTTTCATTCTACTATGACTGAATGCTTATACTGACAAAAATGGAATGTTACTATTCCTTTGATTTTTAATAATTTTCATTGGTCTTTAACCCTCTAGCTTTTAAAGTCGTGGTTTCCGGAAGTTTACCAACTTTCATTCAATAAAAGTAGGCATGTGGTGCAAAACTTGTTTTCCTTTTATATGGAACCCCCCCCCCCCCCAAAAAAAAAAAAGCCAGTTGATCTTTGAACTATGTGCTAAATTTTTTGTTTTTAGGTCCGAGATTGGTACTTAGATTCCTTCCGTGATCTCAGAACTTTTCCTGAGATCAAGAATATGAATGATGAGAAAGAATTCACTGAAATGATTAAGGCCATCAAGGTGAGACACAACAATGTGGTGCCCACAATGGCATTAGGCATTCAACAGTTAAAGAAAGGCATGGATCCAAAGATAGTTTATGAAGATCTTGATGATATTCAGCAGTTCCTTGATCGCTTCTACATGTCAAGAATTGGAATCCGTATGCTTATTGGTGAGTTCACACAACACTTTACCTGGCTTCTTTGAGTCTAGTGATTTAAGTTGTCGGTCTAACCACTAAACTCAATCTGTGCGTCGTGGGATATAGGGCAGCACGTTGAGTTGCACAATCCCAATCCTGCTCCGCATGTTGTAGGTTATATTCATACAAAAATGTCTCCGATGGAGGTGGCAAGGACTGCTAGTGAAGATGCTCGTGTTATATGTTATCGTGAATATGGCAGTGCCCCAGATGTTCAGATTTATGGGGATCCTGGTTTTACTTTTCCGTGAGTAACTTGATTCTTAGTTCTTACCTTCCTGAAGCCATTTATTTTGATTTTGATGTTATTTTTTGTCATTTCCTTTTCCAACCTTATGTCTCTTTCCCCTTCTTTTTTTCTCGTTTTGGTTCGGTTCTTACTTTAGAGTGGTTATACCATTCTGACTTGTAGCTAAGAAGTTGTTTCTGTTCCTTTTCTTTATAGTTTGTTCATGTCTTTTTAACAGGTATGTTCCCGCTCACTTGCATCTTATGGTATTCGAGCTGGTTAAGAACTCACTGCGTGCTGTCCAAGAGCGATTTATGGATTCTGACAAAGTTGCCCCTCCCATCAGAATAATAGTGGCTGATGGGGAAGAGGATGTTACCATAAAGGTACTTTGTGTCCATATCTTAATAAGCACAATCATCCGCTTTTGGCCTTTTGTAAAGGATGGTTTAACGTGCCAGCATGAAATTGCCTCGTTAAGGTGGTGTGGTTGGTATTGTAGGTTTCAGATGAGGGAGGTGGAATTCCAAGAAGTGGCCTTCCCAAAATTTTTACATATCTCTACAGTACTGCTAGAAACCCATTGGATGAGCATTCAGATATTGGAACAGCTAATGCTGTGACAATGGCTGGATATGGATATGGTCTTCCTATTAGCCGCTTGTATGCTCGGTACTTTGGGGGTGATCTTCAAATCATCTCTATGGAAGGATATGGTAAGTAAATCAGCAAAATTATTTCTAGTTGTCTTCTGCAATATATTTCATTCAGATTTCCTTTCAGTATTCTGCTATAGTTCTGTATCGCAACTTTTTATGTATTCACTGGATAATAAATTGGGGGATACGGTACATATTGAGATCTGATCTGATTGCAATTAAATACGATACAGCTATGTCCAACTATTGTAGTTTCTACTCAGTTCTCGCAGCAAATATGCACCTCCTGTGTTGGACTGTTGGCCATTAGATCTGATGCCATTAATTTGACGTATTGTAAATGATCCCATGGACCTTATGAAAGTTGTTTAATTGCTTATTTTAGCAATACAGCTCGGTAGTTGGGTATAAGCATGAGTAATAGCATAATTCTATTAACCTCAGGACTTTTATTAGTATGACAGCAAGTATCATATTCAATGCAAAGTTTTTCTATTCCTTGTGTTAGTCAGTCATGCATTAGTCGTTTTTCTTGGGAAAATTGAGACAGATCCGATGGATGTGCCCCAAGAGCCAAAGATAAGATAGACATATAAGTGCTCATTTGTGCTTGCTTCAACAATTGAGAGTTCTAATACTGTTCTGGTTGTCTATTCGCAGGGACCGATGCGTATCTGCATTTATCTCGTTTGGGTGGTTCTCAGGAACCTTTGCCCTGAAAGTAATTATTCTGGTTCCTCCTAACTCCAAGTTACCACAAGTTACTGGAGGAAGCACTTTGCAAGATAAAAGGATTGTGACTCCAGAAAATAACAAATTTACTGTCAATCTTCCATTCTTCTAATCGGTAATTTTCTTGTAGATATGACATTATACAATGCTCGACGATTATGCATGAGAAATGATTCTCTCGTTCCCGTTACATCGAGCTTTTGGCAGTTGCCCAATTTCTATCGGAAATAGAATTTCTGTCGTATTTGGCGTTGATATGATTGCTAGTTTTCAGAAACAAAAGGTTGTTGGGATTAGGATATTTTTCAGAAACAGAATTCGGGGGAAAGATGCGATGTTTGGAACCTATCAATTAATTAGTCCGATACTGAAAATTTTAAAAGCGTGGGTCCAGCAACCCCAAACACCCAAGCGATTGTGATCAACCGGAGGCGGATGGAAAGGACAATTTAATATGATTTAATTTGTAGTGATTGAAAGTATTCATTTCTCTGAAGTTGTTTCCAGTAGTTTGGAGAGAGAGAAAATTCGATCAGCCCCAGTTACACGTGCAATGGTTACTGTGTTATGCAACCGGAAAAAAAGAAAAGAAAGAGAGAGAAAAAAAACACCTTGATGTCATCTTAGTTATATGCTATCTAAATACCGACGAACTAAACTTCAATAAAATTATGTAGGATCCTGATATATATACGTTTTTGGCCAGCTAATTCAGATTTCAATGGTAAACAAAACTCCGTTGTTAAAATAATGTAACATAGGGATGCCAACGGGGGCAAAGAAGGACAACGGAATACCCTGCGGCTTGCCCTTCTCCTAGTTCTAAAATAAAACATAACAGTGCTTTTGAGAAAACATTAAGCAAGACAAAATAATACCAAAGAAACGGCAGGCATCGTAGGCCTAGTTTAAATAAATTCGATATACCAGATAAGTTATGATATTTTTCATAGCAGTCAGTAACTATTGCATCTACCTTGAAGAGGCCAAAATACTATTGTATCTACGTACAAGAAGGAATGCTTTGCTATTCATGTCCCTACCTTTGACTTTTTAACCATCCCAGGAGGGGCACAAAATCTCAAGAGCTAAGATCCTTTCGTGCTGCTTCATGATAAGAGCACCATGGTGTTCTTTTTAATGCCATTGAAACATTTAATGTCTAATTTCGAAATGGTGGCAATTCATTAATCCCTTCTTTTCTTGACCCTTCTTTCCTTGGCACGCACGCGTGTATTCTGACCCTTTATCTTCCACTTGTTATTTCCACCTGGTCGCTTTTCATCTTCAATCTCTCGAACCTTCCGCTTCCTAAAGTAAATGATAAACAACCAAAGAGTAAATAACCAAGCAAGCATAAGAGAAAGCCTACCCTTTGAATGCGCAACTCCGTCTTTAAGTACTTATCTTCAAATGTTTAACCAGCTAATTATCTGAACTTTATCTAAGAGAGGCCTCTTTCTTTTTTATTTCGGACAAAAAATACAAGAGGTGGTATACTTGGGCACCATGCAAACAAAGTAGAAATGTTATCCATGTGCCTAACCATTATCCATCATCAAGCGTGATGCAAGAGAATTTTTTCTTTTAAATGTGAAACAAATAACCCATTCCGTGCGTAAAGACTTGCCCTCCACTCCTCTTAAACCGAGAAAGACCAAAAGGGAGAAAAATCATAAGCCCAAAAAAAAAGGGGAAAAACACCAAGAACGCTACCTTTGTACAACAAAAGGTGCGAGTGTAATGGGAGATGGAACCCAAAAAAAGGAGACTGAAACAATGACTAAGACAAGCCTTATTTTACCGAGTTTGGCTACATTAATTGCAATGATGCCATTTTACCCTATCAACAATCAACTCTTCAGATGTATCATTCATTTAATGCCATAGCATTGTATGGTGCTTTCTTCAAAAAAAAAACACGTTACCAGAAGTGCCCACATGCTCACACCATTTTAAAGGCTTAACAGCCGCACCTTCAGCAATCCAACTTAGGGTCCGTTTGCAATAACTTATAAGTAACTTTTTAATTGTTATTTATAGAATACGAAGTAAATATGTGAGAAAAATTTTGTCTCGACTTGCGTAAAATCTGCTTATAAGTGATTTTAATTGTGATGGCAAACAGGGCCTTATAATGGTACAAGACACTGTTCAGTGCGTGTTGAATGTTGCAGTGGAGCATCTACAAAAATATAATTTTACATACCCATTCCCCCTCTAACTGACAAACTTTTGATCACACGAGTGTCACTTGCATTTTCCCAAATGGATTCTGATATTTAAATTATAGCTGTGAATCTTGATATATCCATGTGTAAACTCACCGCAGCATGCATACAAAATGAAGACAATAAGTCTTGCAAGATCATTCCATGAAGACAAATAGACATTGTGTAGCTTACCTGTAAGCTGAAAAGGCAGGATCAGAAAGCAGCTCATCAGCAAGTGTTGCCTTTCTCTCCTTCTTTGTCAATCTTGCTGAGAAGAAGTCCTCTGAAGACTCCACAACTGTTCCCACCTGATAATGTTCAAATGATATAAACGCACAAGTTATATAACATTGATGCCACGAGTTATATAAATTCTGCGGCTATCTATTTAGTGCAAACATTGACTTGCCTGGAAATATTTGGGTAACGTTTTTGATTTTGAATCACCCTTCTTGTAGTGCCGTTTGGGATCAATGGCACCCCTCAACTGTAACCATCAACATATACCATTCCTTTTAAAAAGTATGAAGGCTATAATAACATAACATCTACCATACATCAGATCAAAAAGAAAAGAAGATATCAAAAATTAAAAATAACAGAACCTTCAATAGCTTCAGATCTTTCTCCAACTCGGGGGTCATGGTTTGAGCAGGCATATCGAACCTGACAAAGATACGAAAGGGGAAAACAAGAAAAGGAAAACACGATAATTTCCGTCTCAAATCACAAGTATATATAACCAAGTTAAGCCTAAGCAAAAGAGGAAATATGAATCACAATGATTAAAAAAGGAATAACAAAGTAATACAGAAGGATTTAGAACATAATATGTAGTCGGAATGGAAGTATACCAATTTTTTCCCGCTGTGTCTTTAACTTGCTTTCTGAGTAACTTATTCAATTTTTTGGGGTCGCTGGGCGGAACGAAGAGGCCATCAACAAGCTCGGAGTTGGGTTTCCAGATAGCGCTACTACTGGCCTCGGGTTGAGATTTGCTCTGAGAAACATTTGCTGCCTTCGAAGAAGAAGATAGAATAGGCAACTTAGGTTGCCACGAGAGGCCAACCACTGGGTCGCTCTCCGGCATCCTGTCCGGCGGACGACTTAGGTGAAGAAAACTACGGCACAAGCAATTCTTCCAAATTCTGCAACATCCGAGCTTATAAAAAGATATGGGCTTAGGTTTGGGCTGATTAAAAGATCCAATGGGCCCATTTTAGAAGGACTGCACTGCGTTTCAGCTAATCATTTACAAGCAAATAGGATTACTTCCGCCCAATTTGATTCGATTAAATAAGAGTCTAATTTTATTTTTAGAAACTTACTAGCACTGGAAAGGAAGATTTAACAAGGGTGATTAAACACACACTTTTACATTGGATGAGAGAATGGGCTCACCTAATTATGAAATTTGAGTTGAGATTAAAAACAAAACATATTTAAGCAAATTCTCGTTTAAAATTGGATGGGATTTTGCCCAGGACTCAAGATGCTGAAGTCTTCTCTCCTCCCTCTTGGTTGAATCTGGTGATTTTTTTGTTATTTCCAGATTCCTTGTTGTATAGCATTCTTTCGGATGGAAATTCATTTTCGCTATTTTTTTTTTTTAAAAAACTTGATGAGACTTGAATCAGAATTTCTCGCTAGTTTTATGTAGCTGATAGTGTTAACAAAAAGGAATTTTGTATCTTTTAATATTTCTTTTTATTTTGCGGAGCACACCATAAAGCATAGAAAATGAAATTAATAATTTGTTACTCTGTGATTCGTCCTAATATATACGACGTTGAGTTGAGATATTTTAATCACGAGTCATAAAGTCACAAGTTGATGACAATGTATAAATTGGTTTTGAGTATATATCTCATAAAGATTTAAGGGGTGTTTGGATTCTAACAAAAGCACTGTTAAAAAATTCTTTCAGACAAAACTCCTTTCATATATTTATTTCATATTTCTTAATCACCCAAACACCTCCTTAATCTTAATCTTTATTATTACACTTGTGGCGTGTTGTCAGCCTTCTTCAGACACCATGACTTCTGCAAGGAGGTAGTTTGAGCCAGAAAGGGATAAAGCAAAGAGGACAGATTCCATCTGTAACTGATTTTGCTCTCAATAGATAAAAATAGATATTCAATACATGGCTTATGAGGAGAAAGGCGTTCATATTTTTCTTCACAGCATATTTGTAGGTGCTAATAACCAATGATACATGTAACCTGATTACTCGCTCAGATCATCATCAAAATAATTCAGATCAGATTCATCGTCGGTGGCAGCATCCATGTTAGCATGATCTACATCCAATGATTCTACATCCCCTATGGCAACCAGCTCAAGGCATTCCTTCACAGGCCTTGCAGCTCCATCTTCATAATCAATCGAATCATTTTCGCATTCATCGTCTTGTTCGCCTCCAAAACCGATGACCTAAAATGAAGGCAAAGAATTCAATACACTATTAATGCCAGAAGCTTCACTGCTGAGGAGAAATGAAACCTTGATGGTCAGGTATTTTGAACACAAAAACTTATTCCAAGTTGCATGAATGACAGCAACAATGCAAAGTTAACACATGGTATGCCACAAAGCATGGTATGACTTCACTTGGCACTTTTTTAAAGCAGGAATTATGCAATGGGCCTCTGATTAAAGCTTTATTAACACCCAAGCAAGTTCACTTCCACCCCCCAAAAACACAAGAACTTGAGAAAGTTATATAAAACTGTTCAAACTGGGTACCTTATCACCACTTGCACTCTGTAGGTCCGCATCAAATATCCAGTCCTCAAGCAGAGTCTCTTGCAGAGCAGTGTCAAGAGAGACAGAGCTCGAGTCCTTGCACCTTTTTCTTAATTGGCATTCTCTAAGTCGCAAGTTGTAGTGAACATAGATGAGATCATTCAGTTTCTTCTGTGATAAACGATTACACCTTTTACTATATATCTGATCATATATACTCCAATCATGCTCACACCCAAAGGATGAACATGTCTGACTTAGTATGCGCACAGCTATTCTTTGCAGTTCTAAGCAACTTATTCCATGTTGTTGCCACCAAGCAGCTGGGGATGTAGAAAAGAAGAACAAATCAACTCAAAGTTAATCTAATGGAAATAATCAAGCATATCCATCCATGCGTATAAAGGAATCTGCACAAGAAACTTTTAGAAGGAAAAGTAGCAGCTTACCTGGTTCAAGCTCTGTTCTAGTGCTAATTGCCAATTCAGTTCCAAGATCAGCCTTCGCAGAATTATAATCAGAAATCTGGGGAAAAGAATGATAGTAAGGAAGCTCCTATTAATTTTGTCATCATACAAAAATATCACCAAGGATATCTTACCTGCATTGATGCTGAAATCCGTCTCATATTATCTGGCTCCAGCCGCACAATGCATTCATTAAGTCCACGTACTACCTCAGAATGCTAGTCATATAAAAAAATAATAATAATAATTTACTTCAGTTGAAAAATTGAAGAAAAGATTTGCTGTCATAGGAAATATTCAACACTCTCACATACCGCCACAAAATCTGTACGATATCGGTATGATGGATTTAAGAAGTATGCAGCCAAATAAAGAGGGTGATAGAAAAGAGAGTTCCCGTGGTTGTCTATCACCTTCCAAAATGGTTCATATTTACGAGCATCATCACCGTGAAGGGCTTTGATTGCAAGTTTAGCCCTGTACATGTCATTGTATATGTATGGCATTGACAAGCTTTCGCCACTGTAAAGCTTTTGGAGTACTTGCATTATTGGGTCTACTGACTTCCTGACGTATTGCATTTTCTTCCAGAAAGTAACATTCAAGATAATTTTTTCCACCTCTTTTCCTTCGATTGTGCTGGAGAACCTAGATGAAATCCATTTGTTTGATGTGAACATTCGTCTCAGACCAACCCGATGATCCAGCAAGCTTTGTAATGTAGCAAAGCTAGAGGCATATCGGGTGCCAGCTGGCTTCAGAAGCTCCTGTCCCTGAGTAAATTCATTCTTCATGAGATTTAACAACCATATTTGATTGTATATGAGCTTCGTAATTTTTTGGCCCTTTTCCATGCACTCTCCAACACATTTTATCTTCATAAAATCTTCAAGCATCCTATCAATAGAGTAGGTGGCACACGGGGTCCAGAATAAGTTCCTTCTCCTCTCTTCAAGCATTTTCCCAGCAGCTTTATAGCTGGGGGTATTTTCAGTAATTACCTATATCAAAAAGGGGAATAAGAAAAACAAGGATAAATAACTGCTACTAGATGACATTGAGGATGAAGGAGGATGCCACAAGATTAAAAAGGAGCAAAATACCTGCACTACATTCTCCTCGCCTATTTCTTCCACCACTTCATCTAGAAGCCTAAATAGATTTGATGCATCTTCTACAACATTAGTGGCATCAACTGAAGAAACAAAGTAAACACCATGAGGGCAAGAAACCAGAAAGTTAATTAAAGTCCTACCCTGAGTATCTCTCCAACTATCTGCCATTATAGAACAACCAGTAAACGCCCAAGAAGCCTTGTATTCAACTAGGTAATTCTTAATTGTATTGATTTCCTCCTGAAGAAACCGACCAGAAATAAGTTGGCTTGGAGAGCATATCAGTCCTTGGCCATATTGACCAATTACTTCCAGCATTTTGTGAAAGTATATGGAGTTTGCAGCCTGTAAAGGAACCCCTGCATGATAAAAGAACTTGCAAATTGTGGAAATGACCTCCTTGCGTGATTTTTTAGTGGGGCCTGTCTTAACTTTTAGTGGTTTGTAAGTTTGAGGCGTCTGATTCTTAGGCATTTTCAGATAAACAGAATCCAATCTTGATCTTCTTAATACTGGTTCAGGACCACTACTAGATGAGAATCCCTTGAAGTTCTTTCTTAAATCTTTAGACAATCTCTTATCAACATCTACCATAGTTTCCTTGGACAGATGATGCAGAGCATCATCAACTTGATCATCTTCTTCCTCTTCATTATCTGACTTTGAATAGAAAGCTGGAAAGTCCTTGGCCTCAGGTCGTCGATGCCTCCTTCCAGTGCGATGCCATTTCATATTCTCTTTTATTTTAAGATAAACCTCCTCGGGGGCATGTTTACAAGGTGCTACTTCTCCAGGAATCCTTGCCAGATGTTGTTTAAACCGATTTATACCTCCACTGACAACTTTTTCACAATAATTGCACTTCACTTTCTTCTTTCTCTCATCCTGAGCAGTGCCATGCTCCCACCCTGGGTCAACATATCCTAATGATCTAAGAGGAGTCAAATTTACCGAAACATTTCTATCAACCATCAATTGCTTCCCTTTGTTTCTATAACCAACTCGCTCTTCCTCATCTTCCTCATCATTAGAATGGAATTTCAGATATGCTTGTGCCTCAACTTGTTTTTGTTTCTTATTGGAACGGCATCCTTCAAGGTTTTCCTTCATTTTTAGGTAGACTTCTTCTGGAGCCTTTTCACAGTAAGTTACTTCCCCAGAAACTCGTGCTAGATGTTGCTTTAATCTGTATATGCCACCACTAACTATTTTCCCACAGTAATTGCATCTGACCTTCTTCTTTCGCTCATCTTGAGCAACACCATGATCCCAACCAGGATCGACAAACCCAGTGGAGCGAATTGGAGCCATTAGTTCAAATACTTACCCAAAACATAAATCCTCTGCTCACATCTGAAAGAATGCTGAATCCAAGGAACATAAAAGTCCCACAATTATAACATATCCAGCAATCTAAGAGCCTTCCCTGTTCCAGTGATCATGGTATGCATTTGAGCAGGCAAACTGCTGCACTGATCTCAGAGCTGTAAATAGTATAACCAGAAAATTAAAAACGCATAAACCACGCCAGAAATCATAAAGACAATAGATGGAAGACGTTTAAATAGGGAAAAACAGCCTATATCATTGAGATGAATTAACAGCTGTATAGAGAGGCAGTTTGAAACAATTCTTTTGATGATAAGCAAGAGACAAGTTTTGAAACATGCCAGCGAACAGCAAAAAGGTTAGGTTTAAAAAATCATTACAACTGTGATGACTGAGCTGAAAAGTTGGCCATATCCATGTATAAGCACCCCTTCTTCCTGAGGCCCATTTAAGTTTTATTCCGCAGTTGCTGAGTATTTTCATCTTTTAAAGAGGATATTTGAACAAGCGCCAAATGTAACTTCAGCCTTTAGAGAGAAATAGATTATTGAAACATTGAATAAATAATTAAACTGAACGAGAAGTTCAAGGTTCAATACTCATGAAACTTATGACACAATCATCTGAGAGATTACTACCTGTTTCAGAGAGGAACAAACAATTTTTATTTTGTTTTCTTCCTTCACATCTTTGCTGGAGCTCTGTTAGTTTGATGCTAGCAATTAGCATCTGATTAACCCAAACCAAAAGCAACAAAATTCACAATTGTTTATTTTCCAAAGCGTGTGTTCTCCAGCTAATCAAGCTAATCCATACATCCCACTAAACTCAGAAAATGAAAAATCCATGAATTTCAAGCTCAAATTGTCAGCAGCTAGCCAGCTACTAATATTTCTGGCATAATCAGGAGAACAAATGAAAACTAAAAATTCAAACTTGAAGGAGGAAAAAAGAGCCCCCCAAAAAAAAAAAAAAAACTGACTTTCATGATGATCTCGGTATTGTGAGGAATAAAGTTCGAAGAAGAAGAAAAAGAAATTTATGATCTGGAAATTTACTCATTAAATGAGAAGAGCAAGAAATCATTGAATTAAATTAAATTTATAATCTGTGTCATCACCACAGAAAATGACGAGCAATAGCCTTTCATCCTACCGATCTGAGATAACATATTGGCCGTGATCTGAACAGGACGGGATGGAAAAAGAATCACAAAAATAGGAGCAGCTAACGGTGAAGGCTAATATATCCGAAGGTTTCAAAGAACTTGAAGGTTTCTCCGAATTCAGAGAGCAACATTCTGAGGAATCGGAAGCTTTCTCGTGAGGAAGAAGAAAACTTCAGGGGCGTATGTATGATCGGAGTTTGATCGGAGACGGAGGAGGAGCCGAAATCGCCTGGGAATCGTGAGTCGCGAGTGGATGGCTGGGTGAGGAGGCTCAAGAGTCAACTCGACCCGGCCGTGTTATCCCATTTTCTCATTTTAATTTTAATTTTTCACAAGATTGAGTACTTTTTATGGGAATTAATTGAGATCCTTATTCCTTACTAATACTTAATCATTATTTAGCTTTTAAATATTTTCAGAGTTAATAATAATATAAATTTTATGCAAAATAAATTACAACATATTCCATGGGTCTATTTTATGTTATTCCATATTTTTAAAAAAAAACCAAAGTCACCATGTTTTTGGCTAAATAAAAGGCTTTAAAATGTTCATAAAACAGGATTCTTTTTAGAACCCATATTGGTGAGGTTGTTACCGATTAGTATTGGATTTACTTAAATGGGAAATTTGGTTGAGTTGACTCAGCGAGTCTAAAGAAAATTTAATTAATAAACTCAAAGGGCCATTTATTCTTTTAGAAGAAGTTGAACTTTTTTCCTCATGAAAAATATCAAATATTACTCATAAAGAAAAGCTTACTAACCCATGTAAGAGCTAAGTCAGTGTTACATAATTCACCGATTTTACAAATAGAAATCACCTTACATGGGACAAATTTTTTATTGATAAATAAACCGGTCTTATTCTTCTTCTCTACTATTGAAATAATATCATAGTAATTTATAATTAAGTACACATTAACATTTAGTTGAATTTATTACTAAATATATATTGATATTTAGTTTACAAACAAAATGAGATTGTGCACAAATAACAAATAAATCTTGATACATGCTAATTGTTGAGTTTCTTAAATATGACGTCCTGAGTATGAATCAAGCCTTATGTATAGAAAAAATTTTCTTAGAAAAGACAGAACTCGTTTGGGTGATTTATCTATCATGAGAGCATTAGTCTCTAATTATCAATTGGAAAGTATTGCCAGATCTCTGACCAAAAAACAATTATGCACCAATATGCTTGTGGCACTTAGGTGCTAATATGAAGATATTACATTATGTGGTAGTATATTTCTTTTGGCCAGAATATTATGTGGTAATATAAATATATCATATTATGCTTTATGCATGCCGCTTTTAAGTGAGGCATAAAACTAGACATACAGGAGTTCTATCAACACATCCCTTCAAGCAGTTACCAATAGTCTCTGCAAGAACAGTCTCCGTTGCTAAAATGGTGGAACCGGTTCCTGTCTCTTATTATTATACCACGATCAAAAACCTTGGAGATTAGCTTAATTGCTTGGTGACAATCTCTACAAATTCTCAAATTCTTGGTGATACGGAGAGTTTCACCTTGTTTAGTCCTTAACAAGCCATAAGCGACTGCAAGTTTCTCACTGTGATAGAACAAGGGATTCTCTCTTTCTTCCTCAACAAGATCATGCAATACAGCATCAGTGCAAGGAACGTAGCCAGCCAACCTGATCGATTCCAACATTTCTTCGGCTTTGGCGTATATCGCTTGCGCTTGAACATGATCCGGACGAGGATGAGCCATTTCACCTGCAATGAACTCATTCATAACTCCATCCATTTCAATAATGGAGAAACCTGGTTCCTTCTTCACTCCCCTATCATTCATTAACTTTCTTATGTTAGCAACATCTTCCCATCTTCCAGCATTGGCATATATGTTAGCTAATGTCACATATCGCCCACTATTTCCAGGTTCTAGATCAATAACCATCTTGCCTATCTTTTGCCCTAACTCGACATTATGATGGATTTTACAAGCTCCAAGAAGGGCACCTAATATGCTTGCATCAGGACTCATTGGCATATTATCTATGATGTTTCTTGCTTCTTCTAGCATTCCAGCCCTGGCAAGCAGATCAACCATGCAGCCATAATGCTCTTTCTTGGGTTCAATATCGTGGACATTAATCATGTAATGGAAGAAGTATTGCCCCTCTTCAACCAGTCCTGAATGAGCACAGGCACTAAGAAGATTCACAAAGGTTATGTAGTCAGGGGGAATCATTTCCTTCTCCATATCCCTAAAAAGTTTGATTGCATCTTCTCCTTTCCCATGCATTGCAAGCCCTCCAATCATGGAGTTCCATGAAGAAACTCCCTTCTCAGGTAATTTACTGAAAACTTCAAATGCCTTCTCCGGACAACCACACTTACAGTACATGTCAATGATCGTTGAAGCAAGTTTTGTGTCTAATTCGATCCCAGTTTTCTCAATATGTTTATGTATCCACTTCCCCTGCTCTAAAGCTCCTAGTCCTGTACAAGCAGTTAATATACTAGCGGCGACAAACTTATTCAACTCCACTTTTTCCTCCTCCATCTTATTAAACAAAGCAAATGCTTCCTGGAAACGATTGCTTTGAACACAAGAAGCAATCATCGCATTCCAAGACACAGAATTCTTTCCGGCATAAGTTCAAACACATTGAAGGCATCGTCAGTGAATCCCCATTGAGAATACCCAGTAATCAAAGTAGTCCAAGACACCACATCTCGAACAGGCATTTTGTCAAACACCATTCTAGCTTCATCCAAGGATTTAAAATTCGCGTACATATAAATTAGATTGTTCTGGGAGACACTATCTGCTCCAAACCCGAACTTCACAACATGGGCATGCACTTGTTTTCCTTCCTTAATAGCATTATCAACACAGCAAGCTCTTATAACAGATGGGAATGTAAAACTATTGGGTACCAGAGATTCTTCTAGCATCAATGAATACAAGAGAATGCAATTTCTGGGCAGATGGTTCTGCAAATAACCTTTCATTATGGTATTGTAGATGAACACATCTGGGTTTGGAGTTGTGCAGAAAACTCGGACAGCATAGGGGAAATTTCCATTTGAAGACAAAGAGCAAAACTTGATTATGCGTCCCATGGCATCGTTGTTAGTTGAGAGGCCGAGTTTAATGAAGAAGGAATGATGTTGCTTGAGTTCAGCCATGGATGAGCATGACTCAACTCCATAGCGGGTTGGCAAGCAATGGTTCACTGAGCTAGGCTGAAGGACCTGCATGTGAAGCGAAATCATTCTCGGTTTCCGATTGAGACTAGTGGTCTGAGCTTCTGCACTTCGGTTTCTCACTCGTGATATCGAAAATCTCCATAAGTAGGCATATCACTCGTTCCTACTATGAATAAAAATCAGGCATATCAAGATTGATGTGGAAAATATGGTCCTCCCATTATACTTGGCAGTAAACTAGCTAATTAATTAGATTTAGAAATAAAAAGCACCTAAATTCTCAAACGACGACTGGCTTCTTAGCCAAAATACTAGGTAGGAAATCCTAACTCACCGATTTGGCGACAGCTTCAGCTTGCCTCGGATGGACCACTGAAATGAAGGAAGAGTAGCGAATCAAAATTGCACAGGAGATATTGGATAATTAATTTGTGTTATTAAAATACATATCATTAGTTGTAATTTATAAAGCATCAATATTATATATCTGTATATATATCAGTCTTCAATGTCATTGAGTATATATGTGTATGTCTATTGAGGATGCCAGTATATTCATGCCAAAAATCAGATGGTCTTTACCAATATATTAATGATAACAATTCACATGAAGTTTATAGCAAGTTACAATTTTCATGAAACATAACTAAGGATTAAAGTGTATCTAAATTATTTTACGGTTGGCAAAAAAATTATTTTACAATAAAAATTGGGTTTTCTAAATTATTTATTTAAGTAAGTTTCCAAATATTAAAATCATTACAATATTGCCTCGTAACTAATAAACATTGACGTTGATTGTTAATTAATTAACTTTAGGCTAAATAATATTTTTGCTCTGAAAATATTCATTCAGGAGTAGCTAGTACAAGGTTCAACAATGTAAAGTTTTTTTTTTTCCCCCTTTTGGTCAAAACAATGTAAAGTAATTGATACCTCTATTTTTTAACTGAAACATGTCATGATTAGAGTGTCACACAATTTTCCAACGAGGTATTTATCAAGTAGGGAAAAAGTTTGTTTATTTGTATTAATGTTCAACTACTAATATTATCATAGGTTCTATGTGTCGATGTATTATTTATTATTGGTTATATAGATATTGTTATTCAATCCCTTAAATACTCTTTAAGAAATTAAAAAATTTAAAAAAAATAAGTAACAAAAATAAACTTAAAAAGTTAATTTAGAATTAATGATCAATTTGTTCTCCATTAGTCAAAAGTGACATTACAATGATTTCGACACTTGAAGAGTAAGATTATCGCAATAAATAATTTTGAATACTCGATTATAGTGATCCTATAAGTCTTGCTGTAAAGAGCCATTTCTTTTGGAGTGTGAAGTCACTTGACGAAAGCAGAGCCAATCCCATTTTCAGATTAATATTGAAAAGATATCATATCTTAACTCAAAATTTAATATTTAAATTTATGCGTCGTCAGTCTTCTTTATATATATATTACATATCAATCATAGCGCCATTCGATGTGTAACTCGTCACATCAACTTAAATCACTCACACTTGAACATCCTAATAAATTTGA